TAATGAGGTGGTGGGGTCAAGTTTTGGAGAATGTGAGAGATCAGGGCATGTCTGCAGGGAGAGAGCCAGTGGACAGAGGTTGAGTAGAACCTTACTGACATCTGTGTGCTCTTTCCTGTTCCTCAACTTCTCCTTCATTCTCTCCCTTCTTAAACATTTCTGTCAAATCATTCCCCATCATCAATGTTTCCTTGCTGGGTTCTAGGTGCATTAAAGTCCCTCTCCCTCTCTCCCCATCCTAACCTTCTTAGGCAGGGCACTTATGAGACCCCTCAATGCTAGTGATTCAGGGATCTCCTCTCTGTGAACCCCAGCACCTCCATCCTGGAGCCATAGTTGGATAAAGTTCTTGTCCCTAGCATGTGCCCTGGTGAAGCCTGAGGCTCCCTGAATCTCTCGACCCAGGCAGAAAGGGGTAGGAGAAGAAGGGAGTGAAGGAGATCATCTCCCATGATCTCTGAGTCTCTTGACCCAGATTCCCAGAGGGAGCAAATGCCATCTTGAGAATCTGGACAATCTACCATCAATAAGAGTCAATGGAACAAGGAGAAGGGCCCTGAAAGAGGACCTCAGCCACAGAGAAGGCAACTTCATCAAAGAAAGAAAAGAGTCCCCAGCAGTAGGGGAACTGGGGCTTTGCACTTTGCTCAGGAATTAATCTGATCAGTGAAAGTTCACTCCTCCTGAAAGAGATAGCTGAGAGGTGAAACAATCAGTCAATAAACATTTATTAAGCACCTTTTGTGAGCTAGGCATTTTGTCAAACATTAGGCGATGGAAGGAAAGGAAAGGCAGTCCCTGCTCTCAAGGGGCTCACAGTGTAATGTGGAGACCACATATGCAAGCAACAATGTACAAAGAAGACATATATGACATTAGAAATTAGAAATTTATAATAACAGAACCTTCTCAGGCTCCCCCTGGATATAGGGCTGCACTGAAAAAAGAGAAAGGGTAGAAACCATCCTTCAGCCCCTTTTCTTTCTCTTTCAGGAGGGAGCAAGGCTGTCCTTTGAGCACAGCTTACAGTTCCTGGCCATGGCAGAAAGAGGCACAGACCCAGAATCTCCCAGCTGAACCTGACCTCAGAGGCATCTAGTCCAAACCATCCTTACCCCAGAATGTCCTCCACTATGTTTCCATGTGGTTGTCACCCAGCCTTGGTATGAAGACCTCCAGTTAGAGTCCCTCCCTTCTGGCGCTGCCCCAGGCACTTTGGCACGGTCCAAATTGTGAGGAAGTTTTCCTTGCAAAGAGAGGAAATCTGCGTCTTACCTCTTTCTCCAAAGGGCCTCTTTCTGGTAAAGCCCTACTTCTAAGACTAATTGCAGACAAGATAAGAAAGAGTCTGGGGATGTGAGGCTCCATGAGGTAGTCACTCAGCCAGTAAATAAGTATGTGTTTTTTACTTGCAGAGCCCTGTGCTAAGAGCTGGGATTACAGAGAGAGGAAAAAAGAAAGGAGGGAGGAAAAAACATAGAGGTTACTATGTGCCAGGTACTGTGCTAAGTGCTTTTAATAAATATCTTGTTTAGCCCCCATTTTACAGTTGAGGAAACTGAGGCAGACAGAGGTTAAGTGACTTGCCCAGGATCACATAGCTAGTAAGTATCTGAGGACACATTTGAATTCAGGTGTTCCTGCCTCCAGACCTAGCCCTCTATCCACAGCCACCAGCTGCCTCTGGTGAGCTATCCCAGTCCTAAAGGAGAATACATTCTCGTGGAGAAGACAATTTGAAAATATCTAGGCCAGGTTCTTAACCCCGCCTTGATCCTTTAATTAGACCCAGAGGGTGTAGATCTCTGAGAGCATGGACCCTCCACCCGTGGTCTCTTAGCTGCTGTGAACCAGACTTGGGGGAAGAGAATTTTAACCTGGGTGCCTGGAGGAGGAGTTGGGGCTGGGAACCCCCAGGTTGGAAATTTAGAGGCAACTTGAGCCTGGAGACTAGCTTCCCAAACCCAGAAGGCAACAGCCCAGGAGAGAACTGAGGGTCAGAGGCACAAGAATTCCAGTGGAGAAGCCAAGAAGCCCTGACCACGATGGTGAGTCCTCAGGGAGAAGTGACATTCGGTTCTTGAGTTAATTTGCTTTGGGTCCAAGGGTGGTGAGGTGTGAGCTCCTGGAGGGCAGGATCTCTGCTGTTCCTAGATCTGCAGAAAGTAGATCCTCAATCCTTGTGTGAGGAATTGACTTGAAAGAATTGGCAATAGGAGCTCTGAACACCCGCTCCTAATGAGAGCTGGAGGAACCAGGAGGCACCCAGGCTCTGAGACTTCTACAGGGTCCCCAGCTCGTGAGGGCTCTCTCCCCATCTGGCCTATCAGTGGTCATCATCTCCCATAGGAAATCGCTCTTGCCTCAATGGCACCCTTTACCCAGGAACCTGGAAATCACAAAGTGTTGACAAAATGAGACAAAAGGAGAGCTGGGGAAGGATGTTCAACAAGAATATTCAGTGAGGACCCTTCATTACCACAGCATTAATTGTGTGCATCTTCCCCTGGGTACCCCGGTCAAACCTCAGAGAGAAGCTGGTGCTTCTTCTGGTTTCTTGTACTTAGGCAACCAGGAATGCCTTCCTTACTTCCTTGAGTCAGTGTGAGCCCTGAAGACAGTTTTAATACCTTTAAAGGAAAAGAATTAGTCTAGTCCACATGGGAGGGGGAGTAGAGTAGAAGGGGACCCTGGTAGATATTTCTACCATAGCATCCTCCCTAGCCTATTTTCTATTCCCCTTACCTCAGCTACTGGTCCAAACCTGCTCTCTCCCCTGCCCCTCCTCCACAGCACCCCACTTCCAACACCCTCAGTAGAGAACCTCACCTTATACTTCACCCCCCAAATTGAGGCTCTTTGCCAAGAGTTCCCTCTCCTATCTTTTCTTCATCTCCCACTCCCCTGATTTCATCTCCTAGGATCTCTCCTTGTCCTCCAGTCTCAGAAGAATTGGGTCTCCTTGCCCTTTTACAAGTACCTTTCATCCCTTGCCCTCTTGATGGTTCCAGCAGATTGACCTTGCTACCATTGCCACTCCTTAATTTCCAGTTTCTCCCTATTTACTGGTTCATTCCAAGACTATGTTTACAAATAAGCCCATGCTTCCCTCATCCTTTAAACAAACAAAAACCATCTCACTTGATGCTACCATCCCACTGCTTATCACCTTATATATCTCCTTCCCTTATCAGTTAAATCCCTTGAATATGCCTCTGTACTTGGAGCCTCCACTTCCTTTCCTCTCACTCTTCTGAAGCCCCTGAAATTTGTCTTCTATTCTTCTGGCTCAAGTGAAGCTTGTTTCAGTTGTTGGTAACTTTCCCATCTGACCAATGATCTCTTAACTGCCAAATCTAGTGGTCTTTCCTCAGTCTTCATTCTTTTCTCATGTCTCTGCAGCATTTGCCATGGTTGACTTTAATCTCTTCATAGACATAATTTCCTTGGGCCCCAAGAAATGAATGTAGTTGTCCTGCTATTTGCCTCTTCACTTCTTCTCAGTCTTTTCTACAATCTTAATTGATGTTACTACAACTAACCCACATGATCACATAGGGTTCTACCCTGGGCCATCTCTTTTCTCCCTATACTCTCCCCTTTGGAACTCCAGTAGGCAACCTGACTACCAGAAACATTGCTGTATTCCTTGCTGCTCCAGAATGGCTCTCCCTATTTTTTCACCCGAGTCATAGGGATGTTTGTTCAGGAAGGTTGAATGCCATAAGAACCTACAGAGACAGAATGATTCATGGGAAATATTCTGTTTCGTATATCTTTGGGGGCAGTATTTTCATATTCTTTTTTTTTATTTCCCACAAATCCATAAATTGATGGGTGAAAACAGTTATAGGCTAGAGCAGATATCTCTGTTTTATACATATACACACATTTATTCAACATCAGAAAATTCATATTGGAAAGAAGCCTTATAAATGTAAGGAATGTGGGAAAATATTCATTTAGAGCTCAAATCTTACTTGGCATCAGGAGATGTGATATATATGTGTGTGTGTGTGTGTGTGTGTGTGTGTGTATACACATATACGCACACACATCTATATGTATATACATATATATGAAGAGGAGGATAATAAAGACCTACCTACCCCAAGATTGGTGTAGGGGAATTGCTTTGTACATAGAAAGTACCACATAAGTATTTATTTACTTTTTTTACCATAAGATACAACTCTGCACATCTCACTCAGTTCCTCATGTATAAAATAGATATAAAATGCCTATAGTACCTTCATCACAGGGTTGTTATGATCAAATAACGAGGAAAAAATGGGAAAACCTTAAAGACCCATAAACCTGTCCCATATACTTATTATAATGAATTAGGATCAATAGGTCAAACCTGCAAAGAAGTATATTAAGAGATTCTGGCCTAACAATGTGATTTTGCATGTGAGAAGACTTAAGCCAAGAAAGAGAAAGTGATTTACCCAAGGTGATTTGCCCAAAGTAGTAAATAATAGGTCTGAGATTTGAACCCAGACCTTCTGATTCAAAATCCAAGTGACTTTCTCTTATACAATGCTGCCCTAAGTCTTGAGGTGATGAAGACTGAGTGCTGTTGCTGGGTGATTTTTCTGATCCTTACTCTTCTTTGGATATTTCCTCTTCTCCTCATCTTTTGTGCTTTAACTATTTTCTTACCTCTTATGAATCAAAGACAAGGGACTTACCTTATTCTAATCTACTGTTCCGAATACCTCATCTTCCAGTCTTCTTCAGTGGTTTATTCACCCTCTATGCTCAGTTTATGCATAGGGAATCCCCATCTCAAGTCTTCAGTTGTTTCCTCACCACTTCTCCAAGTTTCTGACCATTTTCTCCACAGACATCAAGATAGATATGAGATTGCTCCACATCATATGCTTCCTTTCTGTCAGCAACATCCACAGCTGTATGCATCAACTCACCCCCCAGTTTCCTTTCTCCAAGCTCAGAGAAATGGGAACATTCATATTTTATATTAATCTTTTTTCCAGATATGGAGTTAAGGAATGAGACCACAAAGGCAACTCCAAAAGAAAACATTACAGGAGAAGAATCATCCCATGGGGTAAAAATAGAAAAACTCATATGGGCTGATCTTTGCTATTCTACTTTTACGGTAATTGGGAAAAGTGAGAGTCAGAAAAAAAGGCAGCAGGTAAAGCTGGGAAGTAATGTGAGAAAAATGACTAAACCTCAACAGATTCATCCTGGAGACAACTGTCATAAATATAGTGAATGTGGTAAAGCCTTCAGTCAACACTCAAACCTTACAGAACATAAGAAGATCCCTACTGGAGAGAAGCCTTTTAAATGTAAGGAATGTGAGAGAGCATTCACTTGCATCTCAAGACTTAATCGGCATCAGAAGATTCATACTGGAGAGAAGCCTTATAAATGTAATGAATGTGGTAAAACTTTCATTCAGAGCTCAAATCTTATTCGACACCAGATGGTTCATACTGGAGAGAAGCTTTTTAAATGTAATAAATGTGGAAAAGCATTCACCCGCAATTCAAGACTTATTCGACATCAGAAGATTCATATGGAAGAGAAGCCTTACATATGTGATGAGTGTGGAAAAGCTTTCATTCAGAGCTCAAATCTTACTCGACATCAAAAGATTCATACTGGAGAGAAGCCTTATAAATGTAATGAATGTGGGAAAGTATTCACTCGCAAGTCAAGACTTATTAGACATCAGAAGATTCATACTGGGGAGAAACCTTACAAATGTAATGAATGTGGGAAAACGTTCATTCAGAGCTCAAATCTTATTCGACATCAGGTGATTCATACTGGAGAGAAGCCTTATACATGTAATGAATGTGGGAAAGCCTTCATTCAGAGCTCAAAGCTTGTTAGGCATAAGATGGTTCATGCTCGAGAAAAGCATTATAAGTGGAACAAATGTGGGAAAGCCTTCATTCAGAGCTCAAACCGAGTTATGCATCAGATGATTCATATCGCAGAGACGCCTTATAAATGTAACGAATTTGGGAAAGCCTTCAGTCAATGCTCAAACCTTACAGAACATAAGAAGATCCCTACTGGAGAGAAACTCTTTAAATGTAATGAATGTGAGAGAGCATTTACTTGCATCTCAAGACTTAATCGACATCAAAAGATTCATACTGGAGAGAAGCCTTATAAATGTAATGAATGTGGGAAAACCTTCAATCAGAGTTCGAATCTTATTCGACACCAGATGATTCATACTGGAGAGAAGCTTTATAAATGTAATGAATGTGGGAAAGCCTTCACTCGCAAGTCAAGACTTATTCGACATCAGAAGAATCACACTGGAGAGAAACCTTACAAATGTGATGAGTGTGGGAAAACTTTCATTCAGAGTTCAAATCTTATTCGACATCAGATGATTCATATTGGAGAAAAGCCTTATAAATGTAATGAATGTGGGAAAGCCTTCATTCGAAAGTCTCACATGATCCTACATCAGAGGACACATATTAGAGAAAAGCCTTATAAATGTAATGAATGTGGGAAAGCGTTCATTCAAAGCTCAAACCTAGATAAGCACCAGAGAATTCATACTGGAGAGACACCTTATAAATGTAATGAATGTGGGAAACCTTTCTTCATAAACTCTTCCCTGGTTCGGCACCAGCGGATTCATACTGGAGAGAAGTCTTAGAAAGGCAATCAGTGTGGCAAAGTGTTCTATAACTCTTCACATGTTATTTGATAATATTCCTTCAGAAAGGAATAAATGTGGGGAAACATTCTTTTAGAGGTAAAGTCTTATTCTATAGCAGAGGATTCATGCTAGAGAATATAGTTACCAAATTCCCAAGAGTTATTAATTTTGGGAATTTCAGAATGAGAAATCTGAATACCGGGGAATTCATGGAATCATAAGTTATTTGGTATTTTCCATAACATTTCATGTTTTAAAATAATGAGTGATCATAGTAATAAAGTGAATCATTTTTCTTTGATATGGTTATACTAAAAGTTTCAGATTTTTTTCTATAAAAACCTGATATAATAAATTGCATAGGTAATTACTATTATGAACCAATATATTGGGACCATGATTTAAAATATCTGGCAATGAGTTTACTGATTTTATTTATCTTTCTTAAAATATATTCAACATTCTTCATTCTCTTTATTCATCATTATGAATCTTAAAACTGCTTCATAAATAAGAAATGTTAAGTTTAATATTTATAAAATATCTGTGGCTTGTAGCAAATATTAAAACCCTAGATAATGTCAGTGAATATTATTGGGTAGTATTTGGATAATGTAGCATTCAGATCATCTACCCAGATGTGTGTCATATGTCAAAATTACCACCTTAAGGACTTACTTTCACTTCCAAAAGTGATTTCTTGGAACACTGCTCACAAGATTTGGATAAAATATAATATAGATAGAAAGTTACTCATTTTTATTTTTCTATTCAAGAGTGACTCCCTATTAGCATCAGACAGGGCCATGAACACACATTTTAATATGGCAAGAGTTACAAGCAAGACTGAGTTATTAGATCATGAAAGCTTCTCTCCTGTGTATGTGCTTCTATTCTACTTTCCAGATATGTCTACATTAACATTCAGTCATTGGGTTCCTCAGAACCAGATACCTCCATGTTATTCTTGAAGGAGAGTCACAATACCTTTTCCCCCAATTTCTCAAGTGATTTTTCATGGGATTCAGAAAAAAAAGATACACAAATTTCCTCAGAAATGCCTGGAAGGAATTCCTGCATGGAAATACTATTGGAGATAAGGAATTTGGAAAAAGATTCACTCAGAACATAAGACTTATTTGACAGCAAAAGATTCACAAGAGAGAGTTTTATAAATATACTATATTGGGGAAAGATTTCAGTCTCAGCTCATAACTGTAATGATTCATATAGAGATGTTTTATAAATAAAATGAATGTGGGAAAGTATCTGGTCAAGACTTAGTACTTATAAAGCACTGGAGAATAAAACTTTATTGGAAAACAGCCACATTCATTCATTTATGTGTTGTCCATGGCTGCATTTTCTGTAACACGGCAGAATTGAGTAGTTGTGACAAACTGTATCTAGCACTCCCATTTCTTCCCACTGTTGCTGAGTGCCCCAGAAATCTCAGTGACAGTTATAACTCAACAGTATTTTGAGTGTCATGGATATCACCATACTATGAAATTTTTTTTTATTGCCAGTGCATACCCATCATGTCAAAACAAGAGAAGAAGAAAAGAGAAAAGTTTTATTATAATTTTTTGAGCTTGGGACTAAGATTGAAATTTTTCTATACAAAAAGAACCTCCCTCAACTGCTATTATAAAACGCTGGATGGCTTTGGGAAATAGCTTTTACATCAGACTTGATAATGCTTTCAACCTAAAATTGCAAGACAAAACAGTGCTTACATGTGAAACATACTGTGATAAAGTCAGTTCGATGACATTGTTTGAATCTCAAATGATGTCAAGCTGCTTTTTATACTTTCCATGCTGTCAGAAGTTAAAATAAGGAGCAAGATCTTTATTCCCACACAAATTTGAAGTGGATATATTTTTTGAGCTCAAACTACAGTTCTAGCAGTATTTTTCAGATCTTAAAGCAAGTGCAAAAAAAAAGATCCTTATTTCAAAATCCATTCAACCGGACAATTGAACTTCTACCTGCCCTTCAATTAGAAGTGATTAATCTGCAAAGAAATGATATGATGACAGGCAAATATCAAGAGAAGAATCTAATAGAATTCCATAAAGGCCTTCCAAGTAATGTATATGTTCAATTAAAGTCATGTGCTCGTGGATTGATATTAGTATTTGGTAAAAATCTGTGTGAAAGAACATTTTTAAAGGTGAAATTCATAATCTCATGACAGATAAGCATTAACAGATAAAAATGTGAAATTGATTTCGATGATAGGGAATACTAACTTTGAACCCCTATTAAGCAAAATGTTATACTGAAAAAAAAAAAAGAATAGTGGGCCTACAAAAAAAAGTACCTGTTGTTACATTTTGAATTTCATCAATAAAAATTTGAGGAAATTTTTTTCTCTCTTGTTATATAAATACACACATAATATCCTTGATTTTGCCTTTTGCCTCACAAAGTATCTAGTCCTTGACAGAAAATGTTTGCCAAACCCTGTTACAGAGAATTCATAGAAGTATTAAAAAAAATGTCAATAAGTTTTCTCAGACAATTCAAATCTTAACCTCACAGGATTAATGTGAGAAAGCCAAGCCCTGTCTAATTAAGTTGAGGTCACATGATTCTAGAACTGAAAGAGACCTTAGCCATGATTGTTCAACCTCATGTTATAGAAAAGAAAACAGGATAAGAGAGATTAATTGACTTTCCCAGGTCACAGTTAGTAAGTATGTGAGGCAGGATTTGAATTCAGGTCTTACTGATTCTAACCCCAGTGTACTATACACTGTACTAACTAGCTGTTCAGAAATTTATGTTTGCATTAAATGTGTTTTGTGTAATTAACAATGATTTTTAAAAATACTTTTTGAGCCATTCTGTAACTATTCATTGAATGTTAGAATTCAAACTGTTCGTATTTATTGATTTAATTTCTACATTTGACTTGGCTTCTGATATTTTCTTCTTTATTGTGACACATGGAGAAAGTGAAATCAATTTTCCATGTAATCCAAAATTCTTTCTTTTTTTATTTTATTTTTCTATTAACAAATTTATTTATTTTTAGTTTTCAACATTTACTTCCACAAGATTTTGAGTTCCAAATTTTCACCCCATCTCACCCCTCCCCCCACCCCAAGATGGCATGCATTCTGAATACCCCCTCCCCTAGTCTGCCTTCCCTTCTATCTCTCCCCCCCTTCTCTTATCCCCTTTCCCTTCTATTTTCCTGTAGGGCAGGATAAATTTCTGTACCCCATTTCCTGTATTTCCTATTTCCCAGCTGCATGTGAAAACATTTTTTTAAACATGTGTTTTTAAAACTTTGGGTTCTAAAATTTCTCCCTTTCTCCCTCCCCACCCACTCTCATTGAAAAGGCAAGCAACTCAATATAGGTTATACATGTGCAGTTACTTAAAACACTTCCATAGTAGACATGCGGTGAAAAACTAACTCTATTTCCCTTAATCCTATCCTGCCCCCCATTTATTCTATTCTTTCTTTTGACCCTGTCCCTCCTCAGAAGTATTTGCTTCTGATTACCCCCTTTCCCAATCTGCCCTCCTCTCTATCATCCCCCTATTCTCTTGTCCCCTGTCCCCCCCTATTTTCCTGTAGGGTAAGGCAGATTATCATACCCAATTGAGTGTGTATGTTATTCCCTTCGTAAGTCAAATCTTATGAGAATAAGATTCACTCATTCCCTCTCACCTTCCCCCTTTTTCCCTCTACTGTAAGAGCCTTTTCTTTTCTTTTTTTTATGAGATAATTTACCCCATTCTACCTCTCCTTTTCTCCTTCTCCTAGTAAAATCCTCTCACCTCTTAATTTTATTCTCCAGATATGACCCCTTCATCTTCAACTCACCCTGTGCCCTCTATCTACCTATCTATTTATGTATACATATACATATAATTTTTTCCCTCCAACTACCCAAATACTGACAAAGGTCTCATGAGTTACAAATATCATCTATTCATGCAGGAATATAAACAGTTCGACCTTAATAAGTCTCTTATAATTTCTCTTTCCTGTTTACCTCTTCATGGTCCACTTGAGTCTTGTATTTGAAAGTCAAATTTTCTATTCAGCTCTGGTCTTTTCATCAAGAATGCTTGAAAGTCCTCTATTTCACTGAATGACCATTTTTTTCCCCTGGCAGATTATACTCAGTTTTTCTGGATAGGTGATTGTTCCTTTGCCCTCCAGAGTATTATTTTCCATGCCCTGCAGTCCCTTAATGTAGAAGCTGCTAAATGTTGTGTTATCCTGATTGTGTTTCCCCGATATTTGAATTGTTTCTTTCTGGCTGCTTGTAATATTTTTTCCTTGACCTGGGAACTCTGGAATTTGGCTACAATATTCCTAGGAGTTTTCCTTTGGGGATCTCTTTTGGGAGGAGATCGGTGGATTCTTTCAATTTCTATTTTGTCCTCTGGTTCTAAAATATCAGGGCAGGGCAGCTTTCCTTGATAATTTCTTGAAAGATGATGTCTAGGCTCTTTTTTTGATCATGGCTTTCAGATAGTCCAATAATTTTTAAATTCTCCCTCCTGGATCTATTTTCCAGGTCAGTTGTTTTTCCAATGAGATATTTCACATTTTTTTCTAATTTTTCATTCTTTTGGATTTGTTTTACAGTGTCTTGATTTCTCATAAAGTCACTAGCTTCCAATTGCTCTTTTCTAATTTTTAAGGAAATATTTTCTTCAGTAATCTCTTGGACTTCCTTTTCCATTTTGCCAATTTTGCTTTTTAGGGCATTCTTCTCCTCATTGGCTTTTTGGACCTCTTTTGCCATTTGGGTTAAGCTATTTTTTAAGGTGTTATTTTCTTCAGTATTTTTTTGGGTCTCCTTTAGCAAGCTGTTGACTTGTTTTTCATGATTTTCTTGCATCACTCTCATTTCTCTTCCCAGTTTTTCCTCTGCTTCTCTTACTTGCTTCTCAAAATCCCTTTTGAGCTCTTCCAAGGCCTGGGACTGATTCATATTTTTCTTGGAGGCTTTGGATGTAGGAGCTTTGACTTTGTTGTCTTCTTCGGGTTGTATGTTTTGATCTTCTTTGTCACCAAAGTAAGATAATATAGTCTG